TGTCTGTTTATTAGCTAGACCCATATACCATATTCATGGTTCATCTTTTTATTTTAATTGTATTCATTAATGTTATTTTTTTAGTTTGGATGTTTTGATTATTCTGCTAGAGTTCTGCATCCTATCATAACCATCTGCAGCCTAATATGCTGGAACATATTCCCTCTCAGTGAAACATTCTTTCTTATTGAATGAGAGTTTGAGAAGCCAGAACTGAAAGGACAGATTAAAAATTTAAAACTGGGATTGTGCACTTCAGTTTCTCACACATCAAGAACATTGCCTGCCTATCTTCACTTGCCAAGGGTCCCTGAATGCCACTCTCCCATTTCATTTACTTCCTGAAATCCTTTTTAGCCCTTCCCTCATGCTCAAGGTGGTATATATTCCATCTTCACCTTCTCTTTGTGTCATATGCTCATGTGTCCCCCATTTCATCTGGCACCTCATGCCAGATATTTTGTGTCCTCCATGTTCTCCCCTTCATGCCATTCAACTACTCATCCCCTCTTCAAGAGCTCTGTATATGCCCCCATTCCTTGCTTCTCCCATGTCTCTGTGAGCGCAGACATTCAGACCCCCTCTCTAACTCATGGTGCTTTACATAAAGCACCGCCCCCCATACATACACAGACCCTCCTCAGCGGTAGGGCTGGGCTAAGGCATGAAAAATTAGCCTTGGAGAACACAATTCCAAAGCAGTGTATCTTGATCTGATCCCTCATTTAATGAGAGTTAATTTGTCACACAGTTGGCCACTTTAAACTCACTCTGCAGCCATGCACTTGTGTTATGGCACAGCTGTAGAGTGCTTTCAGGGGCCCAATAGAGCAAAAAATGTAACTTGTGTAAACACCCTGTGTGTCCTTCCATTCTGCTCTCTACCAATATTAGGATTCTGCATTGTCTTGCTCTATAACAGCCTCTGTGTTTCTCCCCCATTCTCCCTTCCTTCTCCATTTGAAACATTCCTTGCTATTATAATTATCGAGATAATCAAGAGGAATGGCCCAAATGTATCAGATTATCAACAAACAGAGAGAGAGAGAAATACCTTCAAAATGAGTGTTAGACACCACTTTAGTCAGCCAATGACATTATACTAGTTTATATTTCTAAATGTATTTGTACAATGTGTTATTAATAGCTTTCATTTTTAGATGACTATCAACACATGGGGTGAAATCCTGGCTCAGTTACTGAACTCAATGACAAAACTTTAATTGACTACAAAGGGTCCAAGATTTCATGCATGAAATATAGACACTAAGCAGAATCACTAAGCAGGCCACTTCCCTTAATACACATTTCAATTTTTTGAAATTAGGACACATGGTTTGCATGTGTGCAACTACCTCACTGTGTGCCATTTTCATACAACACTAACCAGTGTGGCATATGAACTATTCATAATGCTCACTCTAGCTCAAGCAATTTCAGGTGAGTTAAAACATAATTATAATATTCTATAAGGACACATGATTGTGTTAGTTGTTTCTTTTAGCTAGTTTCCATTCTTTTTTCCTTACTATCAAGCCCTTTTTCTTCTGGCAAGCTATCAAAATGTTAGTATAAGACATGAAACACAATCTGAATTGCCCAGTATAGGCTAAATGGATTAACATAGAGTCCACCGTAACTATACACTAAAGAGATGCCAGAAATGTAGTATTATATTGCTTTCCTAAACATAGCTGTTCTTCCTATTGCATTTTAACTTTATGACAAACTAACAGAAGTGTTGTTTTCTTTTAATGGATTTTAAGAAGAGCAAACAAATGTTTTTTTCTCTTCTGTTTTGAGTATAATGAACACATAATCAATTTTAAATATCCTAATTAGTATTCACAAATGATTCAACCTTATTTAACCACATCATTATTTAAGAACAGAATATAGTTTCTCTGTTCTTAGATTTCATAGACATCAGGGCTGGAAGGGACCTCGGAAGATCATCGAGTCCAGCCCCCCGCCCAAAGGGCAGGAAGTCAGCCCCTGTGGTCAGATAGTTTCATCAGTCAGATAGTCAGATGTCTATGAAATAATTAGGAGGTCGGCATTATTAGTCCAATCCTACATTATTTGTGCTCTGAAATTTTCAGTTTTAAAACACAAAAAATGATTGTATATATTACCTTTTTTGTTTAAGTTAAGTAGCAATTAATGATTTTTGAACATGCTGTAGTTTGTTTGTTCGTTACTTCTCTTTCTTATTTTTTTCCAGACAAGATAGGAATTATGTTCTTCTTTCTAAGAAGCTATCAGGGATAGACAGACAAATGACAGAGGAAGGAAAAACGGAACGTAAACAGAATAGGAAATGGAGTCTTGGTAAATTAAGATGATGTCAGTATCTATACTGTAGATATTCTATCTATACTTTTCCGTAAATCAACTATATTCCCCACTGGTAGCATGAACAGGGTGGATATTCAAAGATTTTTAATACAATAGGTACAATAGTGTGACACGCAATGTTAGCAATTTAAGTGTGCAAAAAAAAGGTTGAGAATCACTGAGCTCCAGAGCTATAAATTCTCAACTTAACTTAGTGTAAAAAAGCACCCCTTCCCCTTTCATCAAGTCTATACAGTGCAATTTAAGTGTGTAGACCAATGGTTCTCAGCCTTTTTAGAGTCAAGGCACTCCTCAGAAAATGCCAACTCTCAGTTTTAGGGGTGCAGGTTGTAGCCGTGTTGGTCTAAGGACATAGGCCAGGGGTGGGCAAAATGCAGCCCGCAGGCTGAATGTGGCCTGCCAGGCCATTCTATCCAGCCCATGGGGCCCCTAAAAAATTTAGAAAATTAATATGCATCTGCTCCTGGCTGCCTAATATGAGGCCCTCAATAACTTGCCAAAGCTCAGTAAATGGCCCTCCGCCCAAAATAATTGCCTGCCCCTGACATAGGCAGACGAGGTTCTTTGGATGAATCTGATATATCTTTTATTCAATCAACTTAAATAGTTGGAAAACAATTTTTAAGCAAGCTTTTAGGCTCAAAAACCCTTTGTCTGTCTAAGGAAGTTTCAGCAGTTGGTGTGTGCTCTTCCTGGATGGAATGCAAAGTAAAGAAGCCAGAGGCTTGGTTGGTATGCATACAAGATAGGCAGTCAGTGAAGGTGTAGATTGAGGAGTCAGTGCGTGAGAGACAGGCTGGGTGTGGCAGGGGAGAGAAGGGAGATGAGTAGTGGAGAAGTACCTGGGGAGTCAGATGTCAGGCAGGTTATAATGCGTCATAAATCCAATGTTTATATTTAGTCCATGATTTTTAGTAAAAATCCATAGAATCTCTAAAATCTAACCAGCAAATAGTAACAAAACCAGCAGATAAAGGAGCCATACTCATAGTTACTTATCTGAGGTAAGATCTTTTTTTCTTCATGCTGCCTTTTCAAAAGCAAGGTCTATGTTATATTCCTGGTGTAGTATATGCAAGAAAATATGATAAGAAGAGAGTTTAAGTTACTTTTCCCCAAGTCATACACATCAGTCAGTAAAATCTAAGAGTCCTGACTCCTGCTCTGCTTCTCCAGCCTTATTCCTTACCTCCCATTAAGCTGAAACAGGGACTTAATTATTTTAATCTTGGGACAGTCAGACAGCACCTTTTTATCTGATATACATACATAAATCCCAATTCCAGTGCAGTTAAGTGCCTCACTGACCTTTTATAACATGCCAACTTTCAAAAAGTCTCCCAGCAGTATTTTACAGATCAGCACTCTTGAGAGCAGAAATAATGAATTTGTTTTGGCTGGTGCTAGTAACTACACCTAAAAGACTTGCTTGATTAAGAGGAACAGATGCAGCTACACAGCCAAGCTTAATCCAAATATGATTATATTCCCCATGCAAATAGTCTAATCTGTTATTTGAGCACTAATCAGTTTACTCATGTGTATTGTCCTACTTGAACCTGATTTAGCTTTATATTTAAAGAAACAGTGTTTAAGGCCATATGTTTATGGTTTCTGGTCGGGAACTTTCATACATATGATATTTTCACGCTCTCTTACACTACACTATTCCATTTACACCACTAATAAAGTATATCAGTGAAGTGAAACTGAGAGAGAAACTTTCAACCCCAGAACATGACACTGTCACAGAGAAGTTGAAAGACATACAGATCATGGTGCGTTGCTTTATATTAGACACTATAGCCAGCACAGAACCCAGAGTTTTACAGAAGCCCATAAGTCACAGTTTTTTGGAGAATGAGGGCTCCGTTCTCCACTTCCCTGCATCAGTTGTAGAAGTTTACACCAGTATGAAATGTGAGTACAAACCACCACCTTTTTCGGTATTTTATTTATACTTAAATAAGTAAATGAATAAACAACAAAAGACCTGTCTACATCATGTCCACAGCACACCTACAGAAGGTCGCTCTTGAACATGGCCTGCTCACCTGTTCTTGCTCATACAGGACAAATCTGGAGCCACTGGTGGACACCCCTCATGGCCATTCTCAATGCACCAGACAGAGGTCTTGAGAATGGATGTCAGGGTGAGCACTGAGAGGCTTCACTGCCTATGACAGGGTTTGGTGCAAACAAGTGACAGTGTGTGGGTGAAACACAGTTGAGAAAGGTCCCCCCTGAAGACACGCTGTAGATATACTCTTAGTAAGTACATTCATAACACTGTCTGAGTAGACAGTATAGAAAGGGGGGCGGGGGGGGGGGAAAGAGGGAAGCAGAGCAGGGGAAGAGTCCAACCTGCTTCTTCAGCTTTAATCGTGGTTTGCCAACTTCCATGATTTTATCTTCTTGCATGATATTTGGTGTTTTCCTCTGAGTCCCTGCTCCTTACTCCAGGTTATTATAAGAAAATCTTACCCTCCAGTAAAACAGTAAGGTTTATAATTGCATAGAAAAGCATAGCATGACCCCTATACATTCAAAAACTAAGAGGCAAATGAAAAAAGATATAAATATAGATATATATAGATATTTTAACACCTCATTATTTTTACATAAATCTTATTACTTGGGGTATCTGACATCCCGGATCTTCTGAATGTTTGAGATGGTCAATAGTGGTACTCCAGTAGGCAAAATAATAAACTCTTGTTTCAGATCTAGTAAGATGCCCATCTCTTATTTGATTTTGTATGACCTATCCTGCAATGAAAGAGAGGGTCCTTCAGAATCCTCTAAGGGCCAGTCTACAGTCAAAACTAGCTAGAGTACAACTGTGCTCCTGGCACTCCCCCCTACATTGGTACTACAGCAGGAGATGGCTGCCCAGGGAACCCCATCTCATTGCTCATAGTGTCTGGGTACCACTTCTAAATAAAAAAAGAGGGTCAGTAGTTCTTTAAATAGGTGCACCGACAGCATCTTAAAGAAAAACCTAGGGCTTGGGACACCACATGCCTGCCTATACATGTGCTCCAATGTGTTCTAATTAGATGCATTCTAATTAATTGATTAATCTAATCTGTTGGAGAGTTCCAATTAGAATGCTCTAGCATGCCTCACTGTCATGTGTATTTCAGCATCACACATTTCAAAATGCAGCAGGGGTGCTTTAAGTAAAGCTTGATTAATACATTTTAGTTTAAGCACCCCCATGGCTATTTTGAAACATGGGATGCAGAACACATGCAACATTTTAATTACAGCAACCGGCCAGGAGCCACTCTAATTAAAACACCCCTCCTCTCCCCATGCACCTGTATTATTTCCAGCTGTCCCAGGTGTCCATGGTGATGTCAACCAAGTCTCTCAGTTTTCCCAGCTTTGTCTACCAAGCTTCAGTGGCCTCAAGGAAGGCAGGGAGGTGAGAGGCCGGCAGGTACTTTCCAGATGTCAGCATCCTCCAAAAGGGTGACAACATTATTAGGCTGTTACAAGGACAAAGGATTCCTGCTCGAGGGATCAGACAGTGCTATGTTGCAGCAGAGGAAGGTGGGGAGTACAACTAGCATCTACATACTTTATTCCTTTGCTCCATTTCTACCCAACCTATGATAATGGAGTTGCTTGACCACCCTCACGAGCAACAACAAATCCGAGCCAGGCTGATAATACCTCCCCAAAATACTCAGGAAACCCCACTCATGCCAGAAGGGAAAAGCCTTTAAAGACTCTTCCCCTGACATAACCCGAAGGAGGGAGGCTTAACGAAGGCTGAAAGATCCAACAGGCTTAGCTTGATTTATCCTCCCGCCCACGCCACTTTCCCACGTTCCCAAGGGGAGAAACAGTAGAACACCAGATAAAATATTCTCGGTGGCCGCGCCCGGCCGCGCACCTCCGAAGCGGCCGCCTTTCCGCTTAGCTTTGGCGCCGACCTGGAGTCGCGCGTTGATTGGCTGCTTTGAATACCTCGGCGCGACGCTATTGGCTGGGTCGGGGCGGAGCCGCGCGGTTAGTTCGAATCGGCCCCGCACAGGCGCCTCTGGGCTTTGTGCAGCGGTGGTCCCGGGGCAGCCATTCAGGTACGGTCCCGGGGGGATGGATGCCTCCAGCTCTGACACCGACCCACTGGGCTGGGGAGGGCTGGGGGTAGTGTCCCGGGCTCGGCCGCGACCTCTTCCACTGCCTGGTCTTCCCCCCTCGCCCGGCCCCAACAAAGCCGGGCCGGGCGTCCCGTGCGCGGCCTGCGGACACCCCCGCCCTGGGGCCGAGACACGGGGGTGGTGCAGCTAGACACCCCCGCCAGCTCAGGGTAGCTGCAGGACGCCCCTTAGAAACTATCGGGTGGGTGAGGAAAGAGCCGCAATCGTGACCCCGCACGGCCGCGGACAGCTCTCCATCAGGCCTAGAACAGTTTGTGACTGGCTGGAAGCCTGGATGGGCACCTTCCGCCTTGCCCGGGGTGGGCAGTGGGGATAGTTTCCTCCTGTGCGGGACCGGGTCCTAGCAGATGGTGGACACAACCCCTCCAGTCCCGTTTGGAACTCACCCAACCCAATTTAGTGCTTTACCCCAATCCCCGGGGCCTGGAGACCTGTCCTCAGCTCTCTGGCTCCTTCCTAATTATTTCTTCTTTTAAGGCTGGTCACATTAAGGAGTGATGGACAACTACACAAAAATAGAGAAGATTGGTGAAGGTGGGTAACAGGATGCATGATCCTTTATGTTGTGTATTTGGATGCAAACTTTTTCAACCCCAAAGGAAGCTTGTTTGGCAGTAGCTGCACTTACTAATTAAGTATGTCTGTCTAGTCCCATGAATATGCTTTCAAAATAGCTCTTGGTTTGGTGGCATTGGGAGCCACCTGAAAATGCAAAGGGAAGTGGCTCTCACACTTCCTAGATTCAAAGCACCCCTCAGAAAATGCCAGCTCTTGGTTTTCACCTGTTTCATGATTATAGAAAAATAATAGAGCAATTCTGCTGCAAGGATGTTTTTGACACCATGTATTTGAAATCTCTGGGTTTATTTTGTGAATCATGTGCAAGTGTTATGCGGTAGGAACCAGTAACAGGATCTCATGGCCCATCAGGATACGGTGGCATTCTGGTTGGAAATCACTGATATAGCATAGCGAGCAGCTTCCTTCATGTCGATGGTCACTGGTACATGTGTATATAACCCTTTAGTAGCACTTAGGAGGGAAAGAAGAGGAAAGATAGATCTGCTTTTGTACGAGAAGTAGTTGGATCCATGGTTTTGCCCTATAGATTGTACTGTAAAAGCAGTTGTGACATCCTTTCTAAATTTTTATTTGAGGGCTAAAGTGCAGGAATAAAGGAGTGATATTGTAAGCCATTCCATTACTGATCCCAAGTTTCTTGAAACATTGCATAAACATGTGAAGGTAACTGAAAATAAGTTGTATATTAGTTAAGGAACTCTTACTTTCCTTTCATATCAAGAATGAAGAGAGTTAGAAGTTGAGAACAAAACACTTCAAGAAAAAAGTACTAGGAAAACAATACTTTTTGGCAGGATTCCTTAACTCAGAACTTCCATGTTAATCGAAGAAAGCTGTCCCGAGCAAAAGTCCAGCAATCCTGACTTAAAATAAAACTAGCATCCTCAGTATTCTGATCTGCTCTGTGGTTTGAGTTACAGAGGTAATCCTAAACTTCTAATCTGTTTTTGCCTTAGAGTTTACCAGTGCATATCGCTTGGAGTCAGGCAAAAAATATTTAGATTGTAATATCTGGTTCTGTAGAGAATCACCACAATGCAACAGCCTTATTTCACTTGAAATTATGGTGACCTTGTTTTTTACCTAAATCTTCACAAAGCTGTTTTTTGTATGTCACATTTTTGTCAGGTACCTATGGTGTTGTATATAAAGGCCGACACAAAGCCACAGGCCAGGTGGTTGCCATGAAGAAAATTCGACTAGAAAGTGAGGAGGAAGGTGTTCCCAGTACAGCAATCCGAGAAATTTCCTTATTAAAAGAGCTACATCATCCCAACATAGTCTGGTATGGTATGCACGCAGTATTCTGGCATTTTGCTTTCTCTGTTGAAGAGTACGCACACTCCTATCAATATCCATTCCAATTACTAAGTACTACGGTGAAGTGAGTGGGTTTTACCTTTGCTTCGGATTAGTTGTCATGAGGTTCAGGTTCCTAAAATTACAGATCATGCCTTTCTCTGCAAATCCTTTTCTTAGTCTATCAGTCCCACTCCCTCGTCTACCTACCAGTTAGGAGATCTTAGATTTTTCATTTGTCACTCTGGAATCTGTACAGCAGCTTACAGTGAGAAAAATATTAGATATGACTTGATAAAGGAAGAAGCTGGTGCTGTTCTTCAATCAGCCACATAATCTTCGCTGAAAGATTTGGACCACCTTATCTGATCCTAGTGACTAACAATAAGGATGTATTCGAGTCCTAACTTTTGAAAGAAGTTGCTTTGTTTCAACAGCAGACATTTATTAAAATGTAGTTTTAAAGTTTGTTGTGACCCTTGTATGGCTGGTACAAATTAACGAGCTGTGATTTCAAGATATTTCATGGTTTTATAGTTGGTAGGGTCGGAAGGGACCTGAGCAGATCATCAAGTCCGACCCCCTGCCATGGCAGGAAAGAG